ACCTTTAAGACCAAATTTTATTCAGGTACAAGCTCTCCCTCCTCTGCAAGGACAGATCTGCATGTCCCCCCCCCAATAGCTAGCAATCCCAAACAGTCCGGTGGAGCCTGAGTGGTGGGTGTTGCCTTCTGACACACTTCCAGTGATGTCAGGAGGTGTAGCTTATGCAAATAAGTTTTGCTAATGAGTTATGCTAATGAGCTCCTGCACCTCTTTTTCTACAAAATGACCCCTGCAAAGGCCATTTCTCCCGGTGAACCGATCTCTGTCACCTGGAGATCAGTTGTAATCCCAGGAGTTCTCTAGCTACCACTTGGAGATTAAACCCAAACAAACCAACTGTGATCAAATGACTAAACTCATAAAAACATAGCTATAATTTAATATGAAAATGCTAACACGTATTCGAAATACACAATCAGACCTAATCACACTCTTTACACAATTTCTTCCAAATACAAAAACTGGTTCATTCATACCCCATACTTTCCCAACAAGTGTGGATGCCAACCAAAATTACAAACCAAGTATATGATGTGAGCTGATGAAAAAAACCCAACAGTCTATATAACGTAGTCCTTGCTGGTATAGTTCCAAGTGAAGTTCTGTAGGGGAACATGTATGACTCAAAACAAAGTTCCTGATGTTGAATAATGCACATTTGCTGACATTCCAGCTCGTACAATGCTCACTTCTCCTTAGGGTTACCAGGTCCTTGCCTTCTGCTGGTGGGGGGCTCCAGCCTGCTCCCCTGGATCTTCCCAGGCCCCACCCCCGAAGAGCCCTGATGTGCCTGACATGCCTGCTGTGATGACATCACCCGGAAGTCATGTCATCACACCAGGCACATCATGCAGGGGACACTCTAGCATTTGGCCGAACATTCTATGGTCACCAGAGCTTTTAGCCAAATGCTAGAGCATCCCCTGCACAACGTGCCTGGTGCAATGACGTCACCTCCAGGTGACATCATCACACCTGGCATATCAGGTGCGGCAGGGCTCTTCGGAGACAGGGCTCCCCCACTGGCCAGCTGGCCAGTGGTGGATTGGGACCCCCGAATTCAGGGGAAGCCTGCCCCCATTGGGGGGATGGCAACCCTACTTCTCCTAATGAAGGTTCCATTGCAGTTTTGTTAAACAACTCCAGAGGTTGTTTGCCATTGCAAGCCTCCGCATCATGACCCTGGACTTCCTTGGTGGGCGCTCATCCTAATACTAACACATGCCAACCCTGCTTAGCTTCCAAGATCTGATGAGACTGGAGTAGCCTGGGTTATCCAGGTCAAGGCTGACTGTGAGCTGCCTGGAGAAACTATATATGAGCCTTTAGCCCTGTCACTTAACAGGTGGACCACCTGATCTCATTTATTGCTGTAATACCAGCTAGGGAAAAAAATTAAATACACAGATATAACCTTGTTAAATTAAGCTCAGCAGGGCTTCAAGAGGGCCCTGCGCCACACTCCAACTGTTCTCTGACAGTCAGCAGATGCTGAACAAATCATGCAGAATACGCCAATATGTGCAAATCCATCTGATTTTCACATTGTGACCTGGGTAGCCCTGGGTAGCCCAGTCTCATCAGATCTTGGAAGCTAAGCAGGGTCAGCTCTGGTTAACACTTGAATGGGAGACCACCAAGGAATACCGGGGTTGCTATACAGAGGCAGGCAATGGCAAACCACCTCTGAATGTCTCTTGCCTTGAAAACCCTATGGAGTCATCATAAGTTGGCTGCAACTTGATGGTACTTTACAGAGAGAGAGCTCACAGAATACAACTTTTTATTTTGGCATAGAAGTGCATAGCATACACAGGTCTAGTTATGGGTTGGGCCTAGGGAGGAACCTGTGAGCAGGCTGACTCACAAATAGGTCGAGAAATATGGATCTCTGCCTGAAGACCGAACTTGCTCCGCAAGTGGATGAGAGACGGCCAGAGTTGCATTCCTTCCTAATCCCTTTTAAAAGAATAGAGTCTTTCTCTCTGCATCACCATCAGACAACCGGATGTTTCTTCCCCATTCATTACTTCTATTTTACATCACCACTGTGGTTTCCACCAAAGCTTCCATGTATAGCATTTAACCAGCTCTTTGCTTTTGTGAGCTGAGGCCCAGTATAAGAGACGATAAACAGAGCTGGCAAGCAGTCCAAGCACCCTCATATCCAGTTTCTGTAGTATATATAAATCATTTTGTTTTCGTAAACTATTCTTATCTCAGTGTTTTGCCATGGAGTTTCAAAGGACAGCACAGTAAGCCACAGCATGGGAAGATGGCAGAGGGAAATGGCAGGAACAATATACTGTTACCCATCCATAGCCACACAGGAATGTGAGTGAGGGCTCAAACAGCTGCATCCATAAATGCAAGTAGCAGGCTCCTTGAGCCTCGGTTTGCCACAGAGCTATGCAGGGAAAGAAGGGTGGGCTAACCTCCCCACTGCCTTTCAAAACGGAGCTCTCTGCTTTGTCGTTAGCCTTTTTAAAGGAGAAAAGCTGTCCATTAGAAACACATATTCTGTTGACAACATTACATCCCGCTCAAAATATGCTGTGAAGTGCCCTCCACGCCTGAGAGAATTAAGATTCTGTTACTTTCCACAATTAGGGGGAAAAAAACCTTTAGACATTTATCTGCTATTCTGACATATTTGTTGCTTTCCAATTGTTGACCTTATAACCTTAACTTGTTATTTAGTTTTTCACTTTGCATAACTTAAATGTCATGTTACAGGTTAATTTGCTGTTAAATCCCTGTCTATAAGTTTAGAACCTCATCTACCATTCCCATGTAATTTAAAAAGTGTGCCTTGCACACGAAAACTCAGACCTTGAATAAAACTTTGTTGGTCTTAAAGGTGCTGCTGGACTCTAAATTTGCTCTGCTGCTTCAGACCAACATGGCTGACCATCTGGACATATTTTGCCCATTTGCTTTTATGGATGAGATGATCTGAGGTTTCACTCACATTCCTATATGGATATAGATGGGTAGTATGGGAAGATCCTGAAGATGTGGGGGAGGTGCTGGCAAGGGAGCTCACTGGATATGTGATGTCCCTCTAAGATTTACATTCCCCCTATTTGGCTGTGGAAGGTCGGTAGTTCAGCAGTTCGAGACCCGGGTGCCGCATGACGGAGTGAGCTTCTGTCTCTAGTTCCAGCTCCTGCCAGCCTAGCAGTTCGAAAGCAAGAAATTGCAAGTAGATAAATAGGTACCACTTCGGTGGGAAGGTAACAGCGTACCGTGTGCCTTGGTGTTTAGTCATGCCGGCCACATGACCACGGAAATGTCTTCGGACAGCGCTGGCTCTTCGGCTTTGAAACGGAGATGAGCACTGCAACCCTAGAGTCGGACTCGACTGGCTTTCGAGCAAGGGAACCTTTACCTTTACCTATATGGTGTATACCATAGAGACAGGCCTTCAAAGCAGCTATTTTCCCCAGGGAACTAATCGCTATAATCTGGTTGGTAATCCTGATGGGCAGTATATTGCCTCAGCCATTCCCATGTCGTGCCACATTCATTTACCTGCATGCTCTTGAGGCAAATTGAGACTGCATGAGCCTGCAGTATGCTGGTTTATAGACTCAATAGAGACTCAAGATCTTCCTTACTTTTGTTTGAGCCCTGAGATGATAAAGGAACTGAAAGATAAAGGCTAATCTGCATGTTCATGTGAAGTTGCTCTCCCACACACACCATTTTAGTCTCTCTGTGCCAGCAGAATATTGGCCTGTGTCTTACCAAGCTACTGTTGTGGGCATGAGGAAACCAAACCTCCACAAGCGCACAGCGGAAGGAAGGGTACGTCTGAGCTGACAGCCATATCTGTGTTCGTAGGGATTCTGGGAACAGAAAAAGAATGAGGGAAAGCACGGTCAGGGCAGAGGAGAGATTTTCATCGGGGGGGGGGGTGGTGGTGCTGTGGACAAGTCCCTTCTGGCTTACCCTTATGATGTCTACTGGATTGCACACCAGCCTTGACAGATCTTCTGTCTTGTTTTGCACCTAACGCCAACAACACAAAACAAAAAATAAACAGGAGTGTGGGAGTTAGAACAATTTTATTTGTTTGAATGTGTCAGTCACATCCCAAGCTAAAATAACACTGGAAGCGGGATTAAAACCACTAAAACCAAGAAACAGAACAACAATCATCAGTCCACACAGAGGCACTCATGGTGCTTTCAGTGGTTGCCTAGCAACTGAGTTGTACAAACGGTTAGCCTTTATACGTGGGGGTATCTTCAGGGCTGGAGGGATTATCTACCATGTCTAAGTGTCAAAGGTTAGATGAGATGTCAGTGTCTAAGCACAGGAGCCCGCACCATCTTCCTCACCCAGCAGGCCAAGGTGTAGCATCACCTGGATGCAAGGAATGCAGTCAAGCTCCTGCTGGCACCGAAGCGTGGTCCTCGTTTTCATCTCGATGAGCACCAGGACTGGATCTTGCTCCGGCACTGGCTCTGCTGCTCCTTGGGTGCACACTGCATCTTCCACTGTGAGGAGAGAAACAAAAAACACAGAATAAACCACATGTTACAATGGCTTCTTTTATGTTTATTCTAAATGACATTTTTTTTTGGGGGGGGGGGGGAAGAACAACCTCCCAGATTGCTTCATCAAGAACCTGGAGGGGAGAGAGGGGGGAATGAACCCTTTCCTCCCTTGCCATTTTCACGATGGGGTGAAGCCACCCTGAACTGCTTTTACCCCCACTGAAGAAAATGTATCATCCCCCTCCACTCCCACCACCAGGGGTAAAAACAGCCAGAAGGGGGCTTTTTTTAGCTAGAAAATGGCAGGGGAGAGAAGGGTTAAAGTTCTCTCCTTCCCGCCTTGTCCTCTGATAAAGTAACCCCGGCAACTAAATTTGCAAAAGGAAAAATGCCTTTTACAATATAAATATGGAATTTGTAGCACAGTAGAGACCCACCAAGGGTAAAACCTGGGAGGGGGCTATTTTGGCTTGAAGTGAGAGGGCTATTTTAGCCAGAAAGTGGCAGAGGAGGAAAAGGTTAACGTTCTCTGCTTCCCACCTTTTCCTCCTGGGTGGCAGCTAAAGTTGCAAAAGAAAAATAAATTGTCTTTTACAATATAAACACGGAAAAAATTGTAGCACAGTAGAGACCCGGTGTCATGGAGATGGTTAAGGAACTTCTGCAGTTACCAACACCCTGGCACTTTGAGGTTTGAAAAATAATCCAAGATAATCACTATGTACCCTCACATCTGCCCACACCCGTTCTCTCAGACAGGGCAGCCTTACAAGAAATTCTTGTGCGAAAGATCTGATAACCACTGTACTGCCGTGTGAGTATGCGGTCTCATGACTGTGAAGGTGTGTTACCCTTATGGATTTGCCTTACAGGGCCGCCTGATCGGAGTCTGGATCTGTTGAAAGAATGCCGAGTTTCGTAATTACTGCAGCTGTTCCTTGAACAAGCAATTCACTTGCAAAGGTGCGGCACAGATTGGTGTTCTTCTGCAGGAGATTATGCACTTTTGAATGCAAATTCTGAGTGTAGAATTACACAGAATGCTGAAGACCCAAGGAGGCATGTTAAAATTTTAATTTATAGTAGTTGCACGTGGGGGAAGGGAGCAGCTTGGATCCGGTTGGGGTCAGAGTGCAGAGATGAAGTTAACCCTTTCCCTCCAAGCCATTTCCCCCATTGAAATCATCCTCTTGCAAACACACCAAGTGACTATTAAGCTGCAAAGGAAAAAAAAAAGCTTTTGTAGCAACTTGGGAGAGGACTGTCCCCTCTCCCCCCCAGCACCAGAGTCCTTATCCAACTCCCTCCCACCATTCCCTGGAGGGTCTTCTTTTAAATAAAATTAAAGCTGGGAGACCTGATCACTGATCTCCAGCGAATGCATTAACATACGAAAGTTGTAGGCTGAAGCTCTGCAGATGTGGAGGAGCTCGGTGGCCAACATTGCATTCTTGGGGAAAGTCAGTGGGTATGCAGATTCAGACACTTCTGGAGGAGACCAGGGCCAGTCACAACCTCGGCCAGCTGGCCTGGGTGGGTACGCCTCCTAAGCTGCCAGCGAGTGGCCACCCACCCACTCCATTCAGCCTGCAGCGCAGCCACAGCGCACATGGCACTCTTAATCTTCGTGGGGGCAGCAGGGCTTCAGCCCCCACCAAAATTTTCAGGAAGATGCTCAGCCTCCCCCGGGAGCCACCCTTGCTCCTAGCACAGCAATGCCTCTGGCCCAGCCCCAGCCCCCCCCCCCGGGAAATGGGAAAGTCTACACCCTGCAACATGCCACAGTCTGCCTCTGGCCTGAGGGAAAGGCCCTGACCCAGCAGCTGTAGCAGGGGTGCAGTTTACTGAGCTACCATGCTGCCATCCACAACTCCTGGCTGCAGGGCGGTGGCGGGGGGGGAGACAATCCTGCTGCTCCATCTCAGAGGGAGAATGACGACCTAGTGGGCAGTCTGTGCTGGAGGAAACAGATCATCTAGACCCAGTCCAATCTGGATTCAGGAGTGGACTGGGATGAAAATGGCCTTGGTCACCCGGACTCATGTTATTAAGCAAGAGAGTGACAGGGGGAGTCTCTGTTGATTCTCCTGGAGCTATTGGCAGCTTTCAATAGCATCAACCATTGGGGTGGGACATAGGGGAGCACTGGCATAAAAGTGTCCTATGATGTAACTTTGGGGAGGAAGTGATGTCACTTTGCTTTAGGATTCACCATTGGAACACTGTGATTTTACCGTAGAGTTTCTAGCAATTCCTAAAGTGATGTGAGGTCACATCCAGTTTTCCCCAAAAAGTCATGTCATGCTATAACATTTAATTTTTTTTAAATGTCATGCCATGCAGGTCACTGCTGTTTTTTTTAGGCCACTCTGAATACCAGTAGGAAACAAAGTGTGTCGGGGGGCATGCCCTGCCTCTGTTGGGAGACTGGCAACCCTATATACAGCCCACCTCCCAAAGCTGCCATTTTCTTCAGGGGAACTGATCTCTGTAACCTAGAACTCAGTAGTAATTCTGAGAGATCTCCAGCCCCCACGTGGAGGTTGGCAATTCTCAATGGAGGAGGCCATACTTTGGTGGCTCTGCTCTTGGCTCACAGAGTCCAGAAGGTGGTATTGGGGGAATGCCGTTCAGCTCAAGTAACATTTATGTTTTGGGATCTCGTAAGGGTCCATCATCCCCCATACTGTTTAACGTCTACAAGAAAATACACATTTTTGCCCTAACAGCAAGAACACAACTAACAGTCCAGGAGCAAATCCATTTTAGATGGTATCCAGGGCTTTTTTTGTAGAAAAAGCCCAGCAGGAACTCATTAGCATAACAGGCCACACCCAACAGCAGAAACCCATTAGCATATTAGGCCACACCCCTGACAGCACAGCTCATTAGCATATTAGGCCACACCCCACATGTTACCAGAAGTGTGGTCATCCAACCACACCCACCTTTTGCTTCTTATTCTGTTTACTTTGTTGTCAAAACCCTGGGCTTTTTTTATAGCAGGAACTTCTTTGCATGTTAGGCCACACACCCCTAATGTAGCCAATCCTAATGAGTGTCTGCTGTTAGGTGTGGCCTATTATGCTAATGAGTTCCTGCTGGGCGTGGCCAACTCAGGAGCCAGCCGGAACTCCGTTCCTGTGGGTTCCTGCCCCAAAATAGCCCTGATGGTATCAAACAAGCTACCGGTATGTAGATAGCAAGGTGGTATTCAAGCCACGATGGTCTATACATGAAGGTCAGTGATCGTAAATCATTATTTGAAAGGCCAAGTGAACACTTACCCAGCAGCTGGCAACCAAGACCCTGTAGAAGGATAGAGAAAGAACGCATTAGAGGCCTCTAAGGATATCTGTTCCCCATCCTGCAACACACACATAGCCAGCCAAGCTTGAGACTGGTGTAATGGTTAGAGTTGTCAAATAAGGTTTTACCATGGAAGCTTGCTGAGTGACCTTGGGCCAGTCACACACGCTGTTTCAGCCTAATTTACCTCACCAGGTCATTGTGAGAATAAAATGGAAAAGAGGAGGAGGAGGAAGAGGAAGAGGAAGAGGAAGAAGAGGAAGAGGAAGAGGAGGAAGAGGGAGGAAGAAGAGGAAGAGGAAGAGGAAGAGGAGGAAGAGGAAGAGGAAGAGGAAGAGGAAGAGGAAGAGGAAGAGGAAGAGGAAGAGGAAGAGGAAGAGGAAGAAGAAGAAGAAGAAGAAGAAGAAGAAGAAGAGATTGGATTTATACCCCGCCCGTCACTTGGAGTCTCAGAGCGGCTTACAAACTCCTCTCCCTTCCCCTCCCCACAACAGACACCCTGTGAGGTGGGTGGGGCTGAGAGAACTCTGACACAAACTGCTCTTTTTCAAGGACAGCTGTGCCAGAGCTTGTGACTGACCCAAGGTCACATCAGCAGGTGCAAGTGGAGGAGTGGGGAATCAAACCCAGTTCTCCCAGATTAGAGTCCCCACACTTAACCACTACACCAAACTGGCTGAAGAACAATGTAAGCAGCTTTGCCATCCCCACTAGGGAGAAATATAAATGAAGTAGGCAAACAACTGCGCTCTCCCCAAACTTACATGCAGCCACATTAGCAACATCATTTCACAAACAGAGCCAATAGCAGCTCCATGAAGAAGTCAGGGGAAGGAAAGGGAAAATGGCATGCCAGAGGAGAAGGGCTGTCCTGTCCACATGCCACAGTTGTGAGGAGAAAAGGGACAGCCCCCTCCCTTTTACTGACTGAATTCATTGGCATTTTATTTACTTGGTTAGATTTGTTTATGTTATTGACTTGGGTTGTTTTATACGGGTTATTTGATATGTTCTTTTTATTGGTACAGTTGGTTTTTATTGTCAGCTTGTTTCGTTTTGTTTGCTGTGAGTCTTCTCAGGCGAGCCTGGAGAGGCAGCACTAGGGTCGCCCGCTCTGGAGTGGGAAGTTCCTGGAAATTTTGAGGCGGAGCCTGGGGTGGGTGGAGTTTCGTGGGGGTGGGAGCTCAGCAGGGTAGGATGCCATGGACTCCACCCTCCAAAGCAGCCATTGAGGAATTTCAGACAGACAATATAATCTGGAAGAGGAACGGTTCCCATACGGTTTCTGGTCTGTCATTTCAGACAGAACCGTTTTAGAACCGGTGTAATTTCACACACAAACGCTTCTATCCCATTTAGGAAACGGGGCTGAAGCGTTTTACCTGTCAACCACTTCCAAGTAGTCTTCAGTTTCCTCTCCAGGTTCCGATGTGCTTTTTCCCACCGTTTTTCACCCGCACGGGCGATCTCCAGCTTTTTTTTTTTAACGTTCGCTTTATAGCACTATAACGCAACAGCATTATATCGACCCTATTGGAATGCCTGGAGTGTTGTGTTATAGCGCTATAGCGTTATAGCGCTCTAAAGTGAACGTTAAAAAAAAGGCTGGAAAAACAGCGGGGGAAAAGCAGTACAATCTGAAATGGCAAACCACTTCAGATCCAGCTCTTTACCGGAAGGGGAAAGCCATGTGTGAAATGGCAGCCCTATACCGGATCAAAAACGGCTTCAAAATGGGTTAAAAAGGAGAATGTGAAATTCCTCATTGTCTTCTGGGAAACTGATCTCTGTAGACTGGAGATCAGCTGTTAGTCTAACAGAACTCTAGTCCCTGCCTGGTAGATTACCCTAGGCAGCACACAGATATCTAAATAAACAAAGAAGGGCATGTGTGGGAGGCACAAAATGCCCATTGAACATCTGTCCTTGTGTCTTTTGCCAGCAAACATGAGGACTTCGTAACGTGTGTGAAGCAGAGCTCAGTGTGACTGTGGTATCATCTGCCTTCATGGCCCCCTTATGTTACTGCTCTTTGACTTGGGCTTGCCTATGCTACATGTTGATTATTGCACTCTGAGGAGCTACTAAAGCAGGTGAAACATTTCTGGGCTGGGGGAGAAGAGGTTGTTTGCTTCTTTTCTGTTTCTCAGGAGCAAGGCTAGAGTAGAAAGCCGCCACCTTGGTACTGTTGTAAAATAGTCAAAAGTGTTTAATACTCAGACTATCAATGGATCTTGCTCTATTGGAAAGAAGAGATTTCTTTGCTTTTAAAAACCTTTATTTCTAAGGGTAAAAGGTACACGGGATAACTACAAATCAACATAACACTGCTACATTTTCTAAGCTGTCTATAGTCAACACTAACACAGAGATAATGGAGAATCTGTTTCTTCTCGACCCCTAGAAAGGAAGTCACCTGAAAACAACCAACCAATCTGTATCACAGTAGAAGCTACTTTTCCCAGGCCTAATTCCCCATTGGCTTACTGCCAAGTATCCCTTCCAGGTCAGTCTAAACAATAGCAATACTAGGCAAACAAGTTAACCCTATAATGACTGAATTGTCAGACCTTGTAAACACATGCATTCCCAACAGGTACAACTTGACTAATTCTTCTGCTTGGCTTGGCATTATAATCTTTTATGCTGTCAGTTGCTGTCACCATGGTCACAAGTTCCAGTAAACCTCAGTGGTGCCAGGACAAAGAGCTCTAGCAGCCACTGAGTAAACAACACTTCAGTATCATGCAAACCTGGGGGGGGGGGCGTTCTCTACCTCTTTTAGCAACCATGACACACAACCCCGCTTGCCAGAGCAGCCTCTATGTAGCACCAGACCCGTAGCCAGAATTTTTTTGTGGGGGACAACAAGGGGGCAACTTAGTGCAGTGGGAGGATGGATGGAGGGTGAGTGGGTGGTGCAAGGGAGGGAAATAGGGCTGCCAAATTCCCCCGGGGGGCGGAATTCCCCCCCGGTTTCGAGCCCCGATTCCCGCTCCCGTGGAATCGGGGCCCGGGGGAAACCCCACCCCCGCATCCGCGTCACCCGGAAGTGACGCAGACACGGTGCGCGCGAAGAGGACGCCAGCCGGGAGCCCCCCACTCCCGGCCAATTTCGATTTGGCAACCCTAGAGGGAAAGTTGGTTGTGGGGTGTGGGGGAGGGGGGGAGAGGGTTGCTGGAAACCCTGCCTTGTGGAGGCCACTGCACTTTTGGCCCCTGACCTGACCTAACCTGAGCCAGCCCAGCCCGGGCGCTTTGCCCACCAGGAAAGGGCAACTCACCTGCTGCCTGCGCAGCACTGGGATGCCCATGCAGTGGTCACAGGGAAGCAGAGACCAGGGAGAGGAAGGTCGGTGGGCTTCCCCTCTGAGGGAAACATCCCACCCTGAAGTGGCGTGAAAGCAGCAAACCTCATGAGAAGGAGGGCCACCCTGTGCTGAGGTGTCACAGCTGCCGAGCAAGAGACACAGAGAGAGGGAAGAGCCATGGAAGGAAGAACCACACCCAGCGCCCGCTTTGGTGGCCTCTGACCGGGCAGGGAGACCAAGCAGGCAGAGGGGCTTTGCGTGCATGCCCTTCTCGCCACCAATCCCTGCCCTGCTAGAGCAGGCAGCCCATACCCAACCCCAGGCACTAGACACCTCCCTTGCAAAGCTGCCCGCCTCCAGCCTGCCCCCTCTGCTTCTTCCCCTGCTCTCACAAGGCTACAGCTTGGCTCCTGCCTCGCTGGGAGGCTAGGGGGAGGGAATGAAAACAAAATGGCCCGGCGGTTTCAGGAGGGGCGTGGCAAATTCTGGAGGAGGCGTAGCCCCTGTGGGGGCCTGGTGCCTAAAGGACCTGTGTAGCGCATATGATGTGGTGGGCAAGCCCGATGTGACTTATCTGAATGGGAGCAGGGGTCAAATAAAAAGGGGTGAGGGAACAGAGGAAATGCTCTCAGGCAGGGCCTGAAGTTCTTCCTGAATTAACTGATCCCCAGAAGACAGAGATCTGTTCCCTTTGGAGGAAATGGACTCTATTATACACCACTGATCTCCTCCTCTCTCCAAACCCCACTAGGGTTGCCAGCCTCCAGGTGGGGCCTGGGAATCTCCTGCTTTTACCACTGATCCCCAGCCCACAGAGATCAGCTCCCCTGGAGAAAATGGCTGCGTTGAAGGGTGGGCTCTATGGCATTGTATTATGCTGAGGCCCCTCCCCAAACCACACCCTCTCCTGGCTCCACCCCCAAAGTCTCCAGGTATTTTCCAACCCAGACTTGGCAACCCTAAACCCCACCCTCCCCCAAATCTCCACAGATTTCCCAACCTAGAGTTGGCAACGGTAGGACCGTATCTTCAGGGAATAAAATTAATTAGCAGTTTTGCACAGCAGACCTGATATAAATGTGATGCCAGATTACTTTTTTTTAGCTATCACATTTTGATCTCTTCTCAGTAATTCTCCCATCCTCCATTTTATCCTCGCAACAATACCATGAGGTAGGTCAGGCTAAGAGAGAGAGTGACTGACTCAGGCTCTCCCAGTGATTTTCGTGGCTGGGGGGCGGGGGTTCGAACTGAGGTCTCCCCTCCCCAGTCAGATACTGTAACCACCATACACCAGCTTTCTGTGTGGGAGTGCAAGCAGCCACAGTATCATGTTCAAACTCTTACCATACCAGTTCTGCGTGAATCCAGGCCATGGATCCCTGGACTGCTAACTCTACATATATACGTAGTTGCCAGTGGCACAGTTTAGATATGATGCCAGCTGTGAGGAGTTGCATGCCAAACTGTCATGTTTAAACTGGACCTTAGATTCCAGAAAGTAGCAGCAGGTGTGTGATTTTCTTTCAGCAGCCACAGCTGAGAGGGAGAACTGGCTGAAGGGGTTGGCTAGGGCTCAGAGGCTAGAACATGCATACACATAGAAGTACAGGTAGACTGCATGTGAGAACAGTCTTTATTTGTACCCTGCTTTTCTCCCCAGTGGGGACTCAAAGCAGCTTCTCCATTTTAGCGTCACAACCACCACCCTGTAAGTTAGGTCAAGCTGAGAGAAAACAATCAGGCCAAGGTCACTCAGTGAGCTTTCATAGCTGACTGGGAATTCAAAACGGGGTCCCTCAGATCCTAATCCGGTACTCTAACCACCACGCTTCTTTCTCTCTCTCAGCTTATTGGGCTCTATTCCCCCCCACTCACAGGGTGCTGGGCGCTCACAAAACCGTAACTGTGTTAACTGATCTAGAATGAGAACTGACGCACAAATAAATGGGAGTCTTTGGGACCTTAAAGAGTAACAAGTTGGGGGTTGTTGGGTTTTTTTTGTCATATTTTTGTAGTCTTACTTTGCTGTTGTGAAGGGTTTGTGTACTTTTCCTGACCGCATTTGAATTTTACCTACAGATAATTACACCCTTGTACTTCCCACATTTTGTGGCCTCTTGACCCTGCTGTTTAGTTTTTTCCCTTCATATTTCTTTATCCATCCCCTCACAGGCATGTATGTGTGCCTAGTGAGGACCCAGGACATCCATCCGATGGGGTCTAGTTCACAACAGCTTATGCTAGAATAAAAACCCGCAACTCCTCAAAAGTGTTCTGAAGACTCCTGTTTCTTTTTGATGCCGTTCATTTATTTATTTCCATTTATACCCCCACCCTGCCCTACAAGTGGGCTCAGGGCAGCTCACAACATATAGTAAAACAATAAATAGTAATTTATTTTTTTAAAAAAATCACCGACACACCAATTAAAATCCCAGATGGCAGCCCAACAGTTCTGACCACAGTTATTGCTGCACTGATACCAGGGAGGGCACATTTCTCTCAAAGCCAGAATCAGCTGGTGCCGGTGCCAGTTGGTATTGGGAGTGCCCTAGGAGGATGGGGCAAATGAAGCAGGCAGGCTGAGCAGGGAAGGCTGGTGTCATTTGGACATCCACCACCTCAGCCAAAAGCCTGGCGGAACCATTCACACATCTGCTTGTCTGAGCTCACACATACACACATTCTGTATCCAATGCTAATTAGAATCTTCTTTCAGTCTTAAGCCTGCTTTGAGGATGGAATTCAATCTTTGACTCATTCATGATGCATATGGCCAGAAGCAAAGGAAGCCAGAGTTCCTGTATACCGCAAATACTGGCGTGGGAATTGTAATTTTTTTACAAGTGCTATCTTGCAGGAGTGAGAAAAGCTCTACCTGGTTGAAATCCCTTTATCAGTATCTAGGAATCTCCTCCTCCTTGGCTCATAGCCTCTCTGTTCTTGAAGCACCTTCATCGCAGATGGGACAGAATGATTAAAGGGAACTAATCTAAATTAAACATGGGCTTCCAGTGAGGTGATGTTACAGGCTCCATCGTGGCAAAGCCAGCTGCTACACCGCTTGCCTTCTTGCAAACTTGACCTATGAGTCTCTTGCGGTAAATGTGTAAGCAGATAGTGGAATGGATTTTGCCCTTTCATAGAAACTAAAAGCTGTGAGGTTGTGCGACCAACTGCACATACACAAACCTTCGGCAAGAGCATGGTGCACAAAACTTGAACAAATGTATAGGTATACTGACTGACACCCCCCCCCCCCCCGAGCGGTGATGATGCAGAGACAAAGGACACAGGGAGAAGGGAAAGGAAGACACAGCGTTTTGGGTTTGGGAGTAAAGGACCTGTCTTCTAGCAGCTGGCCAAGGCTGGTACCTACCTGTGTGCAGCTGACAGAATCCACAGGAGTTTCAGGCAGAAGCCAGGTAGAAGGTAGGTGCGCTAGGATCAGCACTAGGACCAAAACCTGCATCTCCGGGATCCGCTGGGAGCTCGGTAATGTCCCTTTCCCATAAGTCATCACCAGGATCATGAAGATGCTGCCTGTCCCATCTCAAACCTTGTCGTTTGTCAGAGCAAATTATTCCTGCCTGGACAGCACTGTTGACAGGTAGCTTGGCACATTTCCTCTCCGGGGAATATGTATGCCTTTTCCAGCCATGGGAGCTGATGAAGGGAGTGCCAAGGCAAATGGTCCAAGTTGAGAGCAGGACCAAAGATCTTTTCCCAAAGGACAGAAAACGAAGACCTGCCACACTAAGCAAGGGACTGGATCTTCTCTCCCACACTGTGTTCTGGGACGCTGCTTAGTCAGTGTCCCTCCCTTGTTGCTATTAGCGGAGAAATTGCATCGAACTGGAGTAAAGGTAGAAAGGGCGTAGCAGGAAGTGGAAGAATGGGCTGCGGTGGGAGGAGGAGAACCTGGGCCTAGTGCCAAGATGCCAGCTTGAGGGAAGCCCACGAGGGTAAAAGAATGAGCAGAAACAAACATTTGCAGCCGAATGTAAATCTGACAGATTTCCCAAATGCCCACAAAACAAATCTGAATTTTTAAGGATATCAGAGCATTACATTCAAAGTAGGGATGCCAGCCTCCAGGTGGGATCCAGGGTTCCCCTGGAATTTTAGCTCATCTCCAGACTGCAGAGATCAGTTTCCCTGGAGAAAATGGATACATTGGAGAGTGGGTTCTATGGCACTGTACCCCAGTGAGGTCCTTGTCCTCCCCAGGCTCCATCCCCAAATCTCCAAGAGTTTCTCAGACCTGGATCTGGTAACCCTGCTCACCCCCTGCCTGTAGCCACAGGGGACCTGGCCACCCTAATTCAAACCTGATCAATCCCCTCCCTCCCTGTTCCGCGACACACACATAGCCAGCCAGGTTGAGACTGGTGTAATAACTAGAGTGTTGGACTAGGGTTGGGAGGTCCCCAAGTTCAAATTTCTACTCTGCCATGGAAGGTTGTGAGCATAATGTGCCCTGGCCTGGGATGGCCCAGGCTAATTCATTCTTGTCAGATCTTGGAAATTAAGCAGGGTTGGCCTGGTTAGTACTTGGGACACCACCAAGGAATTCCAGGGTTGCTAGAGAGCCAGTTTGGTGTTGTGGTTAAGAGCGCGGATGCTAATCTGGGAGAATGTGGTTTGATTCCCCACTCTTCCTCCACATGCAGCGGCTGGTGTGACCTTGGGACAGTCATAAGTTCTTTCAGAGCTGTTTTCTCAAGGGCAGTTCTCTCTCTCAGCCCCACCTACCTCACTGAGTGTCTGTTGTAAGAAGGGGAAGGGATTGTAAACTGCTCTGAGACTCCTTCGGGTAGTGAAGGGCAGGGTATAAATCCAATCTTCTTCTATGCAGAGGAAGGCAATGGCAAACCACCTGTTTGTCTCTTGCCTTGAAAACCCTGTGAGATTGTTATAAGTCTGCTGCAACCTGACTGCATTTCACACACACGCACGCACACAAACAAGCATACTATACACAGTGTATAAACTTAAAGGTGCCACTGGACTCAAACTTTGTTCTATACACAGTGTGTTACTGTATTTTCCAGCAATACATTTTATGGCACCTTTACACCAGTTTTGCAGCATGGTGATTGAGCAAGAGATAAATTACTTAACAGCCAGTCACCAGTTGCTGTTTTATTTAAAAGGACACAGGAGGAGCTAAGGTTGAAAAGCAGGACATTTGTATGTGTGTTTTGCACCATTTCACTACGATTCGAAGCAGCATGGGTGGAGATGCACAATAGGAAGGTAAATTCCCTGTTCCCCTTCTCTCAATGCAGCCTTCTCTCCCCCCCACCCCCGTGTTCCTGCAGGTCAGTGGAACCAAAAGAAGAACACAAGAAGCTAATAGGAAGATTGGAAGAGGTGGGAATCAGCAAAAATCCCCCTCCCTTCTTCCACCATCACAGAAAACTATTTTGTTGGATGAGTCATTGCTGCCATGCTGATGCAATGACACCTGGCAATCCAAGCCAATGAGCTTGCCATGGATCGCCCATATTTTAAGCAAATAGCTCCCAGCTAAGTACAGATTGACCTTTTTTGTATGTGGTGTTCTCACAACACTGTTTCTTAAATCTGTTCCTTATAAATCAACATCCTTAACCTTTTGTAATCCAGGAACCTTCTTTAACTTTAGTTTGTAACATGGACCTCCACTTTAGGTTGGAAAGTGACTAACACAAGGGTTGCGGCAGGCCATCGGCTGTTGAAGCTCAGTACCTAGGAGCGCATAGATGATTCCTTTATATCGAGTTGGAGTTTCACCTTTAATTTGGTTTTGCATTATCAGATTACAGTACCAGGGCTGGGATTGGGAAAGCAGGTGTTGTTCCTGACAATAATGACTTTGAATAATTTGCTAAAAGTAACTGCAGGATTGATAACATTCACCTGGATGATAAAAAACAAAGCAGCCGACCCTTACTTGAGCCAACCAGGGCAATGAACCTCCACATATGCCAGACGGTGTTAATTAACTGTGTTGACTTTTGTTTTAATGGATGGACACACCTATTTTTTAATCTGCTTTGCAGTGCAGTCTTAATGCGTGCTTACTTAAAAAGAAATCCCATTTTATTCAATTGGGCTTACTCCCAAGTAAATGTTCTTAGCAGAGTCGCCAGCTCTGGGTTGGGAAATATCTGGAGATTTTGGGGGTTTGGGAGGGGAGGGTCCTCAGCAGGGCATATGGTCATAGAGTCCACTATCCAAAACAGCCATTTTCTCCAGAAGAACTGATCTGAGTTCTGGAGATCGACTGTAATAGAAATCTCCAGATGCCAGCCTGGAGGTTGGCAACCTAGTTCTTAGCATTGTGGTCTAGTGATTCTCTCCAGTGCTTAGACTAGAGTTAACTCTCCTTAGGAGGGCACTGTAGCAGTTTCCACAAGAAGATGGCTCTCTCAGGGCAGTCCTAAAGAGGGTTACTCCAGCCTACTGCTACGAATGCACAAGCATTCGCAATGGCGAATGGAGTATCCACACTACAGTTTTCCTTGCCTCACCCCAAATCCTTCATAAACAGGGACGGATTAAGGCTCACTGGTGCCCTAAGCACTGATCAATTTTGGTGCCCCCAATCTTGGTGTCATAGCCTATGACACTGCAACTTGCCAACAAAAAATAGAAGATAACCCTAGGGTGCACCATGATCAATGTGCACTAGTTTTATCGATTTTTTTTTTTTTTTACATTTCTTCATTTATTTTTTTTTCTTTTCACCCTTTTCCCACCTTTGTGGTGCCCCCTTTGGCCCTGGTGCCCTAAGCACGTGCTTAGTCTGCTTAATGGTTAATCTGCCCCTGTTCATAAATAAGTCAGTGACACAGCCAACAACACTGTTCAGTGAGTGTTCCAGCTGTCCCAATTTACTAGGGACCAGTCCCACTTGATGTCTTGCTGAGGATATTCTTGGGAATAGCATTTACATTTTTTTACTGCAACATCCCCCCCCCCCCCCCCTGCTGTTTCTGAAATTTTAGCCCTTTCTAACCTGAAGGAGTTCTCACAGCAGGGACAGAGTTAGCAACAGCCTGGAGCAAAAACTTGCTCCTTTATTAGAGGCTTTATGGGATATTATTTATTTACTCCTGTGCCAGTGACAAAGCATCTGCTTGGCATGCAGAAGGTCCCAGGTTCAATCCTTGGCATGTCCAGTTAAAAGATCTGGCAGTAGGTGATGTGAAAGATCTCTGGAGCTGGCAACCTCTATATAATTTCCTACTCTTAGGGCTCCGAACTGGGTGCTTACAGGTCACAAAACTTTCCAGAGGTCGATTCGGGGGGAGAGATCGCGGAGGATTGCAGTTCCCCCAGGTGAGGTGCGGGGGGCGGGGCACACAATGAAGCTTCCGGCCGCCCCGCTTCTGGCCCTCATTCAGCCAGGAGGAGGCAGGAGAAGAGGGAGGGTAAGTTGCTTCCTCCCCGCCTCTCCCCACCCCTGCCTGGGGCCAGGGAGGGCCTTGGCGGGGCTTTTGGGGGTGGAGCCTGAGTGGTGGGTTTAGATTCAGAGGAATTAGCTGTGTTAGTCTGTTGCTGCAAAATAGTCCAAGAGTTCAAATAGCACCTTTAAGACTAACCTTTAAGACTAAGACTAACTGAGTGGTGGGTGTGGCCTTATGACACACTTCCGGTTATGGCAAAGGGTATGGCCTTATAACACACTTCCAGTGATGTCAGGGGTGTGTGGCCTTATGACACACTTCCGGTGATGTCAGGGGGTGTGGCATATGCTAATGAGTTATGCTAATGAGTTCCCCTAGCTCTTTTTCTACGAAACGACCCCTGAAACTTTCTAAACAACTGAACGGGATGAGATTCAGCTGCCCTTGTGATGGTGGAGAAACAGAACTTTATCCTTTTCTTCACTGCTGTCCCATAGGTCTGCAAATGGGCTTTTAGAGCATGTTTGCTTTTATCCTTGTTCATCCTCATGCCGTCATTGGCACAAAGGATTATTAGGTCTCTATCCCCAGATGAACCCGGTGAGTACTTGTTGAGAGGTGTAGCGTATTTTGAAATGGCATGAAGTAGTAGTGTGGGCCAGCAGGTCCCAAAGAGAAGTGCTATTTTTCCCGCCTACAATCTCCATCTTTGTGTTCTTTTTTAAAAAAATGGATTTCTAATTCCTACTTTGGGTGCAAAGGTGGGTGCTAAAGACTCTAGAAGGACCCACTCGGGGTACCAAATCTATCTCCATAAAAGTTTGCTTAACTTTTTTGTGTGGAATTAGAATCACTGCTATGAACTACATCATATTAACCGCTAGATTCGAGAGAGCAGAAAGGCATTGCTGATATTTGATGGTGTAAATAATGTATCCCGCTAACTAAATATAAATAAATCAAGACAGGTAGCTGTGTTAGTCTGTCTGTAGCAGCAGAAAAGAGTCCAGTAGCACCCTAAAGACTAACAAAATTTGCGGCAAAGTATGAGCTTTTGTGAGTCACTGCTGACTTCTTGGTATCTGAAGAATTTTATTTATTTATTTAAGAAGTGAGCAGTGACTCACGAAAGCTC